TCGAATATTAGTAAATTTTTATTTTCATTTTACTAACAAACCGCATTCCCCTTGTCTTCTATAATCATATTATGTAATATGATGCATGCGTAGATCAAATTACTTATTTTTTTGCTCGAATGATCGTGCCAAATTCTCTTTAGAACACCAAAGGCTCACTCGATATCCTTCACAACTGATTCTTGGACTGACTTAAATTTTATTTGCTTTTCATCGTTTGAACATGAGAATGATTTCATAAATGCAACTAACTCGGGATATATCCTATCAGTAAGATAATACCCACGCTTGTATGATGTCCTATTTGCTTGAAACAACACATCACACGACTTTTCACGATAGATGTCGTTGAGTATCGGTGATTGGTTTAGAACATTGATGTCGTTATTGGAACCCCGTTGCACCAAAAAATGCATGTCATATCCAAATATCATAGGGCACCAATGCTTCTAAAATTATTTTCGTATGTTTCTAATCACCTCGTATAAATTGACCGCGCCACACATTGGGGCACATTAACCACCCCTAATGCATACAATCGATACTACCAAACATTCTAGGGAACTCTGCTTGTTTTCATGTGCTGTATACTGTTTTCATGCGTCGTATATAGTTAGTGAATCTTTGTAATTGTAAGTTTGCGTAAATAACGACCACGATAGAGGATAATCACAGCTTTTGCAATCTTGTATAGAAATTCTCGTGTTGTTCACTTTGACATCCTCAAATACTCATCCCATGAGTCCGGTCCCATGCTGAATGCTAGTGACGAATTGCAGTTGTACAATTCAAAGAGAAACCAGTCTGACCTCTTGCATTAATCATGTGCTGAAAATATGGAAATCGATTTTTTTATATCATCAACAATGCGTAGAAATAATTCTTTCCTCTCCCGGAACTTACGTTTGATTTTTGAGCGTAGACTGCATCATCGTTAAAGTAGCCATTCACAAGTTCGTTGTGTTCGGATTCACGATTTCTCTGTAAATGAGCATTTATAATTTTTGAACGCGAACTTTCGGCTTTATTTTCTTGTAGATAAGCTAGTGATGTTCACATAACGTCCCCAATAAATGCTAACTCCCATAACGCTAACGTATCTGACAAAGTGGATGACGATGAAGAAATTTTCGAATTGTAAATATAAAGTAGACAAAATTGCAAAAAAGGTCCCTGTGGTTTGTCAAAAATTGTCACCCACCCCACCGTATCCTATCTTACGTTATACCTCAATTCCTTGTATATCTCCTAAAAACTAAATCAACAACACATCATAGGTGAATTTATTCGTCCTCACCTACTTGATTGACGACCATTGTCAACACCTCTATTGGAGCAGGCAAAGCTCTTCTCCCTTTACCACACATCGTCGGCGAAGGTCTTCTCTCTTCAATACCGTTTAACGAAAAACCCTCCTGTGAAGCACTTCTCCCTTCAACTCCAATGATAAACACCTCCAATGACAAACACTTTCGATGATAAACACCATTCGCCCTTCTACTCCGTTCAATTAAAACCTAGAAATTAGAGCTATATCGACAAGATCAGATTACATCTGTCATACCACATCTAAAGTCGTTCACGCTCTTTTCATTGCCGATGATAAAGTTAGTCCTATGAGTATCTTTCCAACGACGTCAAAATCGATCCTTCTCTACAATTTCTTGGTTTGATTTTAGGTTACGAGTATGATTATATGTGTTTAGCCGCAGGTCTGTTTTTTTAATTTTATTTTGATTGCAAGCCTGAATTTTGGTTTTGATTATAGATATGCATAATTTTTTTTGTAATTGTTCAAACTGGTTTTTGGTTTTTGATAAGTACATGTCTAATTTTGATTGAATGTAGGTCTTATTTTTGTTTTGATCGAGTACAGTTTCGATTTTGGTTGAGTATATGTCTGATTTTTGGTTTTGATTGTGTACATGTCTGATGTTGGTCATATGGGTTTTGTTTTATGATTATTAGAATCTGATTTCAGATATTAAAGATAAATTTACACATAGTTTATGGGAGGATAGAGGCGGAAATAAGAAATTTCGTCGAGGGGTGGTGGTTACTGAAGAAAAGAAAGGAAGCGGGATAACAAAAGAGAGGCAGGATCTAGTTAGGGTGGTAGTGGAGGTGCCCGATGGGTTGGAGGTAGTGGTGTTTTTCTGTAGAAGAAGATGATGAAGTTTGGGGATGGGGGATTTATTTTTACTTTTTAATAATAATATGGTAAAAGAATTAAATATTATGAAAAGTACATTAAAAGAGTAAGTTTTTCAGGAACTAAATCCACACTAAAACCTGCTAATTAGGACGTTCTATGTAATTTTTAAAGTTAAGGGAACCGATCCACATAAAATCGTAAGACACAGAGACCAAATTTGTAGTCTACTCTTTTTTATTATAATAATTAAAAAGAAACAAAAATAAATAGTGTTTATCCCCTACTCCCCCCTCTCTCTACATCACTGATATTTTAAACCTGCAAACCACATGTCCATCATCACTGGACATTTGACTTCGATGAAATCGACGACTCGTCAGGAAAGGAGAGAGATAGAACGATGACCACCACTCGGTGAAGAATGAGAGAGACGACGATGCTATGTTTACTGTAAGGGCTTTTGAGACATCATTCACCGCATCTACCGCCGACATACTTCACAAACTGTCGGAGACCACCGTCAGTCTATACCACCACCACCATCGCCTCTTGGAAAACCTCCGATCTGAAAACCCTTAATTAAAAGGAGAAGACAAAAACAAACCCTCGATTTTTCACCACCTCCATTAACTCAAATTCAATAGAATCCTAGCATTTTCCATTGACGACACTGTTAGAGATCTCACCGATGATGTTGCTGGAGATCTCACCGATAATAAGAGTAAAAAAAAAAAAGAGAAATGTCCGTTAAAAAACGGTCAACCAACGTTAAGAAAAAAGGGTGTGATATATCTTTCTTGTACGGTGGCGTTACTGCACCTCTCATAACCGGACGTTGTCGTGTTCACCGCATAACACATCATATATTGCGGTGTGGGTGATACCGACTCCGGTCGGTCCAAAATAAATATACATCCAAATTAATTATCTATTCGACCGGTAACTGTAAAAACTCAATTGTGAATGTTGAAAAAAAACAAAGGATAAGTGACGTTGGTGATTTTATCGTAATCGGAATAAACAGGGTCAGAGAGATATGTCATGGTAATTTGTCATCCTTATCCAGTTCGTGATTCGTGAGTTCATGAAATAAAGACTATACTCTAGTTTTTGGCTCTTACGAAACTGAACAATATGTATACTTTCAGAACCGCTACATTATGTTTTATGCCTAGAACACTGGGTCATGGATTATCTCTAACTTAATTTCTTGTTAACCCAGGCATTAAGAAAAAAATTATCAACACAGAAATAAACAAATACAGTGAGAAATCAAATTTATTGATTACCACACCAGTTCTTCTTAACTCATATTTTGGATAATGTTTTCATTAAACAAACATGCCGTTGGCTTAATGAGAGAAGGTGTATGTATCATTAAACATCTATTAAAACTAGTGACGAACAAATAACAATTTTGGATAATCTGTTTAAAAAAGAAACGATAATGTTGAGGGGACAAAAAGCCATCGATATTGTGGAACCAAAGCCGGCCCATATACAAGTGGGCCTGATCATGGTGAGCTCAGCTTGTGGCCGAGTTGCTTTACTGTTAGAAGCCAAATATCAAGAGACTAGAGATTCGAATGATGTTGGTAACAAAATAAATTCAGATGTGTTTTTTAACTTTTTTTTTCTACAAGTCAGAGTGTGTGCGATAGGAGACCCCTACGTATAAATTGTAGTTCAAAGTTCATAACTAAAAAAATTCATGATCATTACCTAGAGGAATTTCATAGGATGAATCATCTAAATATTATTAAAAAAGAACCTTAAATTCTCCCCTTAAGAAATCAGGGCCATTCAATGCATTTCAATCATATATTCTACACCCTTACATCATTTGCTGACATCATCCTTCCTTAGAACCAAAACCCCGTTGCGTAATGTTCCCTTCCGTTCGTCATTTACTCTCTGTCTCTTCTTCCTATCTAACGTTAAGAAACCTAGGAAAAACATTCGCTTCTACTTCTTTGTCTAAATCTTGTAGACCGATCACTCCGTTTCGTCCTCCAATGTGGAAGAACTGGAACTTGCAGATACCCAATTCAGGGGTTTCGAAGAATAGTGTTCAATCTGTTCAAGCATCTGCGACTTCATTAAGGTAAGTTATCTTCAATTGGTCTGCGAATTTCTCGGAATTTAATCGATTCAAACTCTTTCATTGGCATTTTTTGTAATTTTGACATAGATTTTTTAGGGTTCTTTCCAATCCCACCTTTATCACATTCCAATACTTTTTAGAGAACAATGATTCATATGTTCATTTGTTTCCTTATAGATCAAAGAATGAAACACGATTCGACGAGAATGAAAGCGCATTGGAAAGTTACCGTTTTCATATTTGATAAGAACTTGTCAGATAACTGGAAAACCAAGACAATGATGAAGATGATTGGAGCCGGTAATGATTTGGTATGCTCTTACAGGGTTTCTTCCATCCCTCACGCTTCTCTTGAATCCAATTCCAGAATCGATCGATGAATTTTCTGTAATTTGCTTCCTCTTTGAACTCCGAAGTAGTAATCTGCCTGTTCTTTGTTCCTTTTTATTGTTTTTACATTTTCGGTACCCTCAATTGATGTTTTATTTCATTCAGTCCCTGGACTTGTGTATCTTGATCGGATGTGTAGAAAAAAAAACCCCAACTTTCGACAAAAATTGCAAAATACATAATTACTTGATGATTACTTGATGATTTTACTACAAACATTTTCATGCTACATGATAAATGAATTTAAAGAAACAAGAAAACCTTTTACTTTTATTATAGATGCTTCACTTGTTGTGGCTGTGGATGCTGTCAGAAAAGGTGCAGCTGCATAAGGCATGACAATTAGAGACTATGTTTGGCTTGGACATGATCCCACATCTTAGTAGGACTGGACCTGCACTTGACCTTTTTAAAGCTAAATTGGAGGTAATGCTATTAATTTGAATACCTTTTTAACTTCACATAAATCTTATTTCTTCCATTCTTTTCATTTTTTTTATAAATACAGGCTGTTATGGATGAAGCAAGATCTCAACAAGCTGCATCCATGACTGAATTTCATTGGCTAGGGCATAGATTTCCAATATCAAATGCCAAAACTCGCGTTTCCATTTTGAAAGGTTAGTTATCATTTATCAGTTATCAATTATCAGTCTTTAGTGCTTCCGAGGGTATGTCTAATTCTTCGATTTCCCGATTTACCCTTTCAGCTAAGGAATTGGAGAAGGAGATTAATTATCGAAAGGAAGGTGCTCTTCCATCTGAGAAAAGACTTGCTGTTTTTGACAAAATCTTTGCTGCATATCATGAAGCCGGAAGCTCCATTCGTAATGACTTCGATGATTTGAGTGGACTTGATAAAGTTACATTGAACGCAACCAACTGTTGGTTAGTATTGCAAAGAGTAAACTTAGCAAGACATGTGATGAAAAAAATGAAAAAGTTACAAAACCTGAAGAACTTGTGAGGTTGTATGATCTTCTTTTACAGGTAATCATTCATTTAATGTCTTTAAATGATAATTCTTTTGTTGCTACTGTTATATATGTTTTATTTTGTTGTTAATTTCAGAATACAGCAGATCTTTCTGACTTGTTGAGTTCTGGAAGAGACAGAAAATAGGAAGAAGTTGCATTATCTGAAGAATGTGAACTCAAAAGTTTGATCTTCCGAGCAGAAAGGTTTGCATAACATTTGATTTTGTAACATTATAATGTTTTACGAACACGCCATGGAATGGAATCATGAATTCCAATTCCGGGCAAACCAAACACCTCTTTATATTCATCAAGATTTTTATTTCTCCTTTTTTTGCAGGTGTTTTTTCTTGGGTAAATCTTATAGTTCAGCTGGGAAGAGGACATAAGCATATTCTTTGTTTTCTCTTGCACGTTCTCTCTGTGAAAAAGCCCTAAAGAAAGTTCAAAGTGTGGCTACACATGATCAGGTGTTTACCCTTTTTCTGGCCTCTAACTTCAAACTAAATAAAATTTATTAATAAAATGATGTCTATTTTTTTTATTAATAATAATAGGCAATGGTGAAAGAATTGGAGACATTATATAAAGATTGCAGATCCAACAGCTGTATTGAACATGCAATGGGGATTATGGAACATGAGAAGGCTCCTAATGATTAGGTGAATTTTAGTAACTTTGGCAAAGTTTGGTCTTAGAATCACAAAATGTGATTAGGGGAATTTTATTAATTTTGGCAAAGTTTCAGTCTGAAATTACAAGGAGGTCCCTCAACGATTATAGATAATCAGACATTTCTTTTTATTTTTTTAGACATATCAATATAATCAATAAAACGACGTGTCTTTATGTTACTTTATAATATTTAATTTTATTGTGTTCGTTTTTTATGATATCATCTTAAATAATCGGGGTCCTTGATTGTGTTTTCTTTATATGTTTTACACCCTTAAATCAAATGTGTTAATTTAATAAACATATGAAACAGTCCAAAGTCTAAAACCTGCAAAAGACAGCTTTTTGTTTATTGAATAAACAATTATTTTCCTTTGTTTCTTATAATAAATTCATATTATTGGTAACGTACATTTAAGATTTCATTATCGGTAAAAAAACTAAAAAGGGCCTAAAATATATGACGGGTTGAGGGAAATACTCACTCTATTATTTTATACAAATTATAATTTGTGATTATATCCAGAAAAATCAAAATTAAAACATGTTTTGATCCCTAAAATAAATACAACAGGTCATAAGCAAATATAAATGTGTCATTGTATCTTTTTTTTCCTACCACTTGAATATCAAACCTGCAAGTTGACACAATACTAGCAATCAGCAGGATATCAAAGACATCACATGAACAGTTGTAAAATGAATCACTATAATTATCTGAGATTATCAAATGAACAGTTGCTGTACCTATTGATCATCTTCAAAACTGAAAAGGGTATCAGAACTATAACCATGATCTGAATAAGATATTAGCAATAAAATTATCATCATAATGAATTAAGAAGCAATTAATAACATAAAGGATACAACCGCTCGAGCATTATCATCTGAGAAGTCAAATTGGTAGCAGTTTAAATAAAGGATGTGGGTGGTTACAAAGGCGATTAAAGGAGCTGCAACCATGACATGTGTAGCTTCACTTTTTATACTGGAAGCTCTTAGTATTTATACTATTAGAGAAAATCCAATAACTGCTGCTACAGATGAGTAATCTAGCTTCTCTGTCATTTCCACATCCCTGAAGGGTAAAATGGTCATCTGACATTTCAACAAGAAAACTTACGTTGTTTCTTTTAATATGTTAAGTGGGAAATATGGTGCTTTATCGTTTATAAATTGAATGGTAAAATGGTCATTTACACAGATTCAGTTGTATGAGAGAAATGTGCAAAAGGGTAATCTTTGAAGATGTGGCAGGGATGAAAGCCAGGAGGAGAACATGCTTAATGCTTAAATCTCTAATAAACTTAAACTTCATTATTCAACGACGCAAGAAGAAAAGAAAAAAAGAAAGCAAACAAGATTAATTTCATCAATCTAAATGTAAGCTTTCAATGCATGATAAAAAATACGAACAAAAGCCTCCATCTCAATAGCAAACAAGATTACTTGTGCTATTATTTTAAATGATTGAGGATTATAAGGGCATTTAAGTCTTTTGCACCAAGCACAGATTTATAGTGACTCCAAGTACTATCCTGTTTCACCTTAATGGGTAGAACAGAAAGTTATACTTTTTGTCCCATTGACATCAATGTTTTTCTCTTCTGTTTGACAATAGGAGTCTAATCATTAATGTATCTACTTCTTTATGGACAAGAATCCCTGATTCCTTTGGTAATTGCAATTACTAAACTTTATAATGTCAATTTTAGTTTCAATTCGTTAGCATATTCCATTCCTGTGTCCATCACACAATCCAATTCCCTTATGTTTCTATCTCTCCAATTCAATATAGATCATAACCAAATATAAAAACCTACAATAAAGAATTTTTTTCCTTAAATAAATGTCAAAATAGAAATCATAACCAAATATAAAAACCTATAAAATTAGGGAGGATCTTTTTATAAAAATTGCAAAGAAATCTCACAGAAAACTATGATAATCACGAAAAAAAATAACAATTTTACCTTAAATAAATTTCACAATAGAGATTATAAGCAAATATAAAAGCCTATGAAATTAGGGACAAAAAATCATGATTTTGCTCTGTTAGAACATACCTCACCAATCCCTCTCCGTTGTCATTCCCAAGTCTCCGATTTCACCATCTTCTTCGTCTGGCACCAGTTGCTTACCCGCTGAGTCCCTGACTGGCACCCGATTATACTACTCTCCGAACCTCCGTCCTCCCTTGTTGCCGTCCTCTTCGCCAATTTCACTGTTTTTTGTTATTCTCCACCTCTTCTTTTCTCTTCAAAATTAGATCTTCAAGATCAGGTACGTCGCTATTATTTTCTTTTAAAAACCCCGTCTTCAGCGTCTTTTATGTTTCAGCGTCTTTGTATTAAGTAGGTTGTAAGTTTTAAGTGATAAATTTCAAAGATATGTGAATGTTCCTAAAATATCTAGGGCTAATAAGTTTTAAGTGATAAATTTCAAAGATATGTGAATGTTCCTAAAATATCTAGGGCTAATAAAGAAGTTTTTTATTGTAACACTTCAAGCTGCATGAACAAAGTCATTTATGTTGTTCCCAGATTTTGAAATTTATTTTATAAATATTATTATATTGTTCTGTTAAATTATATAAATTTATATTACTAAATATGTTTACATCAATGCTTTCAGTTTTAAAATCACCATTATAGTTGAAGATATTACCGGTTCGGTGTCACTTACTTTATATGATTCTGACGCAAAGAAGCTTATAAGAAAAAACGCACAAGAGTTGGTTCATCAGTTCTATGAGGTTATACATATTAACTTCATTTACATAAAACAAATTTATTATTTTGTATATCTATTTTTATAAACGTTCTTTTTTTTAGGATGGTAATAACGAAATTTATCCATCTGCTCTGAATATACTATTGGAAAAAAAGATGGCGTTCAAAATTCAGATTACACATGACAATTTGAAAAACAAAACAGAAGGTTATGCTATCTCAAGGATCACGTCTAACAATACAATCATTGATGAATTGGAAAAAATATTGAATATGGATCGGGTAAAATTCTTTACCCTCAATACTACAAAGAGTATACTTATTATCAATTAAATTCGTATGTAATGAAAGATTAAATTTTAAGTTTTTCTAATATTATTATCTTATTATTTCTTTCTTTTGCAGTTATCGTTATTGACTTCTGAACTAATTATTGAAATTCTTTCACGAACATCATTACAAACATTTGCTACTGTACGTTGTACAAATAAATATTATGGAAATCTAACATACAACAACTATGTTCTTCATAACTACAACCGTAAAAATAATGTGGTTTGTGGAATTATCGTTCAACAAAAAAAAAAACCATGGAGAAATATAGAGCGTCAGTTTGTTCCGTCTCCTGGTAGCAACAATCTAGACATTGATTGGCTACCACATACTTGTACTATTTTAGCATCATCATTGTGTGGACTCCTTCTTGCTGAATCCTATGATCCAGATGAATACGTTTCAAAGATTTTATTTGTTATCAAACCAACGACTACAGATACCAAATGGATACCTTTTCCGACCTCTGAATACACTGCAACAAAGTTTGTTTTGGTAGTTATCAGTTCGAACCCGTTACATTTCAAGGTCATTCGATTGTCATACACAAAACCATCGTAAGAGTTTATATGTAGTACATTTTATGTTATTAATTTACTTTATTATTTACTTATATGTTATTTTATTTGTAGTGATATGCCAAAGGAAAAAGTGGACTACGATTACTACAACATATAATTGTTTTCATCTACTACATGGCTATGGAGGGAGTTTCAAAATGTCCAGTTACCATCATCTGTTTATCCTGTTTTTGATGAGGCAGTTACATGTGGCGGTGTCGTATACTTCTTATTATCTAATGATACCATATTGCGATTTGATATTTATTCAGAAGAACATATACTCATATTTGCACCTTCTGCTATTAATGACTTCAAACCGTATGCATCGAGACTGATCAAGTTTCACGGAAAATTGGGATATTTCTCTGTAAGTGGAGATCGTTTGTGGGCTATTTGGGTTTTCATTCACAATCGGTGGGTTAAAGTAGATGTTACTACTTACAATGAAGGTGCACATGAATGGTGGGATTATAGAAACAATATCCTATATTTCTTTAAAGGAAATACGATTGAGTATGTGGTTCCGGCACATCCTTCTCAACAAGTTTTTTCAATCCGTTCTGATTTTGATAGAGTGACTATGCCAAGTAGATATTAGTGATTATATATATTTTAATTTGCATTCGAATATAGTTGTTTTTTTTGTAATGAACTATTTTAATAGTTTATATTACTCTATGATTTATTAGTTTTTTTAATTTATTCTTTTAATTGTTATGAGGTTAAAATAGCTATTGTAATGTATGTTAATGAATTTAAAATAACTATGATAATGTACTTTTAATTGTCATGCTTCCTATGATGTCATATATGTTTACAATTCTATGTTTTTTTATACGCTC